GCCAATTTGAAAATTTCGTACATACATTGACTGTATCACTTTTTGCTGCTTTGTTATGACAAAACTAAAATATAAGTTTTACTTAAATTTTAACAAATAAATATGATATTTGAATTATTTTAAATAATTTGACTTTGTAAAATTTCAAATTATTTTGAAGATTCAAAATTTTGCAGACACTTCATACAGCAGTACTTGAATTTCTACGTCCACTCTCACTTCTTTACCATGCACTTACACTTGTACCACCACCAGAAGCATTGAAAGGTAACATAGCAAAATTGATTTCATCCTCAAATAATATCTTCCATCCATATACAAAAATGTGGAAGAATTAAAATAGCTAATTTGAAACGAGGACAAATTTTATGCCAACTTTTTATCCGAAAATATCGGTTTTTGTCTCTTGTTCATCATGAAGAAGATGAATTTCATTAAAATATGAGCAATCTCAGTATCACTAAATGATGTACATTATGATTTGTTTTTAAACCAACTTTTATTTTAAGAAAAGATAATTAAAGAATTGTCTTTTTCTTTTTCAGATCCTTCCGTTAATGAATTCGAGCCCCTATGTCGTTATCTTGGTTTCATACCCAGTCTTGGCGAATTTCTCGGTGGTCTGTGTGTTGAGAAATTGTTCACATTGTAAGTTATATAAACCATTTAATGTGTTTAAGACCTATGGAATGACGATAGCGAGTAGAAAAATGAAATAAGGATTGAAACTTGAATTTCTCGTCATTTCATTGTTTGATCATTAAACTGAATACTAGTAATTGCATTTAAGTTACTTTTTGAGTTCGACATATATAACTAAATATGTGTATCTGTTTATATTTTTATTTTTATTAATTCACGATATATTGAAAAATTTTTATTTTTATTAATTCACGATATATTGAAAAAGGAAAAAAAAAATCAATTGTTACATCATTGAAGGATAACTTTTTAGATGCCAGGTTTTATTTCTCTTTTTTACATCATTTCATGGCTTCTAGCAGTTAAAAATTTCTTTTATCATGCATGAAGATAAGCTGAAGCAAGCAGCAGCAATTTAAACTTAATTTATCTTAGATGGGCATCATCACAAGGAGATAAATCTCAGCAAACTTTCGTACGACAACCAGTTTTGGAAAATTCATTTGTGGAGTTGCCGGAAGATTTCTCAGAACTGATCAATTATGCAGCCAGTTTCAGGTTTTTTTTTTTCTTTATTTTACCAGTGTATTTTCACTTTATAATATTCCATAGCTAGCTTTTAACTTTTTATATCCTTCAAATACATATTGAGGAATAGGTTTTGTTACTATTGTATGCGAAGACATTTCATCAGTGACAATATCGTTTTCTGAAATATAACTACGATTATTTTACAAAAGTGATCTTAGCTCAGATATGTATAAATTTCGAAGGTTTGTTTTGTAATTGAAAACTCTTCAGATGTCCTTCTATTCCCATCGATGATCGTTCATCATCGGCACCAAGCTTATGTCTTCTTTGTGGTTCATTACTTTGCTCTCAGATTTACTGTTGTCAACGCACAGTAAGTTATAAGAGCTAATATGAATCATTTACTATGATATTGAAAGAAATCGAAATTTCTTGATTAATAATACAGAGTGATATACTTTTGAATGGAATATTATTGTAGGTAAATGGTGTTACACTTGGAGCTTGTTCTTATCATTTAAAAATATGTACTGGATGCTCTGGTGGTGTGTTTCTTCGGTTAGTGATTTTTATCGTTCTGTCTTTTGCTTCTTTCTTTTTTTTTTTCAATGTTTTTTAAAATGTTATTGCTCTAATTAAAGAGGATTTGATTTTCTTGAAAATGATTAAAATTCTATCTCCGTTTCAAAAAATTTAAGAATTCGTGACTGTCAAGTAGTGCTATTAACATCGCGTGATCGAGGTTGCTTACTCCCAGCGCCTTATATAGATGATTATGGTGAAGCGGATCCAGGATTTCGGTTAGTATTTTTTTTATATTATCAAATTTTTCTTTTTTAATGTCTTATATAAATTCTTATATATTATTACTGTTGATATGTCATCACTGTTGCAATATGATGATTCTTCAATAATGTTTAAATTTTTTTAAAGGAATTTCTAGTAGAAATTTATGAAGAATTTCTAGTTTGAATTTCTAATTTGAAAATTTTTTAAGCTTATATTATAGACGTGGGAATCCATTGCATCTTAGTCACGAACTTTATGCAAAATTGGAGAATCTGTGGCTTAATCAATCAATTGCGGAAGAAGTGGCCAATCAGTATGAAATTGATCATCGCAATATAGGTCTTGAATGGCACCATTTTTAGATTATTTTTTATACCAAGTTTATTTTTTTTCTTTTATGCTCATATATTTAATGCATTCTGTATAGTATAGTTATGTGCGAGAAAAAAGAATAATGTTGGATATATTTTTTGCTAAAAACTTTATTTCAGGTATAGACGCACAGAATAAATCCATATTTTTTTAAAAATGAGGAATTACTTTAAGTTAAAATTGATTTCATTCTTCGTTCTTTCCTATCACTAACATTTTTTACTGGCATACCAACTTCAATGAATTTCTAGTTGTGAAAAATGTTACTGTGACATATTTTCTCGCTATTTATTCATTTGTTAGTGTTCTCTTAGTTTTATTTATTAGTTAGTTCTTTATGTTTGCTAATTATGCGAAATATTAATTACAAAAATTATAAAAAATATTGATGTTAAATTGTACGGGAAAAGATGGATGACAAAAAAAAAAACTCAAATACCTCGGAAGAATTTGAGCATTTTTTTTTTTTCTCGTGAGCTTTGTATGAATATGCGAAACTGTAGAGCTTTACCAATCAATATTCAGATTTTAACATGTAAAAATAAATATTCTAACTGTATATGTATTTCTTTCCACACTTTTATTTTGTTTTTATTAGATTATAACACTGATATTTTTTGATAACCATAATGTAACCGATAGTGATTTTACATCAGTTTGGATAATACATCAGTTTTTTTCTTTAAGTTTGTTATAATCAGTGAAATTTTAGCAATAACAGAGCTTTTTTATTACACAATCTAAATTCGGAATAATATTCAATGAAGAAAGTGATCTTTCTTCTTTTGCATATTTATTTTTTCTTATTATTGAAATAATAGTTCATATATTGTAAATTAATCTTGTAGACACAAATAATTAATAAGCACTTTATATTTTTGTCTTAAAAAGAACTATTTTTCCTTTTTTTTTTTTTTTTTTTTTAACGGGATGAAATTCTCATTATTAATTAATCTGATTTATTAACAGCTTACGATAAGTGATAAAAGGAATATGACGAACTATTCCATTTGTATTTTTTGCAACAAACTTTTTATTAAGGGTTTATATTCATTAATGTAATTGATAGATAACTAATTACTCGTTCATAATTATTAGCGTTAAAGTGAAATGATTATCATTCTAGTCCCAATCATTTTTTATTTATTCTAATTTTGTTTCCAACTAATTAACATATATACGAATTATCAACTGTAATACCCTTTTGGTTTTCTACCCTCTCTGGAATAAAAGAAACAAATCTGATTTGTAATAAAACAAAAGAATTTGAAATCTAATTTATTTCTTTTAGAAATAACAATTCTTTTTTTTTTTTCTCTTCCTCTGTTATTGGACTTTTTGCCTAAAAATTTTCCTCAATCAATTTTTATTTGAATTATTAGAAAAATTATGATATAAAATCAACAAGTTAGCAATATTTCTTTCTTTTCTAATTGGTATTTTGAAGTATGAAATTATAAAAAAGCTTCTGAAGTTAAAAAATTAAAAAGTTAGCACTACACCAGATAGTTGGGCTCTTAGTTTTTAATTTTTTCAGATTGTCGTTGTTGACCTTGGAGAAAAAAAAGATTTTTTTTTTTTAATTTACATTTTATCTTTTCTCTCCTCGTTTTCATCGATCATAAACGATTATCAGAATGCGCTATCAGTCGATCAAACTTCGTTGGATTTTTTTTTTTTTTTTTCTTGATTAACCATATAATTATAAATTGTTTTTAATGGATGTCAAAAGTTGTTCACACATAAAAAATGATTTTATTAAAATTTGAACATTCAAATCCTAATAGAAATTATTGCCACATTATTGAATACAATAATTTACATATTTATTTATCACCTATAATAAATTATACATTTATTTATTACCTGATAACATTCTATATTTATTTATCAAATATAATAATTTACGTTATACATTACTATTACTACTAATACTGTTATTATTACTATTATTTTTATTGTTATTATTAATTATTATTATTATTACTTGAGCACCAATATAATAAAAGAAAGAAATAAAATAAATGAATCGAATATCACTGTTACAGCAATGATAACGATTATCCATTTCAAATATTCATTATAATTTTTTTCCTTTTTGCTTTTAGATTTGAGAAATTTTCTTGTCCAGAAATTGTCAACCAAAAATTTTTACATAACCTCTAAATTCATATGTACAAAATAATACTAATATTAACAATGAAAGGTATATCTGTATGTCTCAAATCTACCTCATTTAGAAAAAAAAAAAAAGAGAAATAAAGAAAAACAAAGAAAAAGAAAACTATTTGTCAATGAAATTTTATTATGATATGATTGATAGTGTACAAAAAAAAAAGGAAAAATTTATTACTAATGTGATTTATCTATTACTTCATTTCAAAATTTTCTTTTTGTTAATTTAATTATTAAAAATACTGAACATGTTTTATTATTAAAACTAATTAAACATATATTAATTTAATTAATTAGTATAATAAAGTCTTGTTTCTTTCCTCTTTTTTTTTTTTGGAAATTAAAATTAAGGCATGTGCTTAATGAGAAAAAAGGAAGCATTTGATAATCTATTAATAATTTTAATTATTACAATTATCATCATTGTTTAAAATATTAATTTCCAATTGATATGGTTGTTGCTATTGATACTGTCATTGTTGTTGTCGTCGTCAATTAATTATGTGATGTAAATTATGCATACTATGAAACCGAGTTAACTGTTTTGAAGTTAATGATAGTGATAACGATTCTGTCGGTATACATAGACTAAGTGCTTCCAAAAGATATGATGAATATGATGATATATCACCTGATAAGAAAAATTTCTTCAATTAAATTATTTTATGCTAGAAATGAAAGGATAGATAACCGATGACTAAATTTAACAACTATAAAATTATCTTTTATTATAATCTTTCTTATTTATCATCAAAGAAATAAAAAGTGAGAGAGATGATTAATTTTAAAAAAGGTATCTAACTCCTTATAAAATGATAATGATTAGAGAATATTTTAAATTAATAAACAAACATGAACTTAATAAAGTAGCAAAATTATTGAGGATAGAGAGCAAAGAAAAAAAAATGAACTAATCTATTTTATGGGAAATATCAGAAAAAAAAACATTGAAAAAAGCTTATCTATCCTTTCATATTGTATATTTGGAAAAGAAATTTAAAAGAAAACTTTTATTTAATAAACAATAAATATTCATTTATTTTTTAATAATTCTTCATCTCATTTTTTTATTTTTTTGATTTTTCAAAATTTACAATTTCAAAATATTTGTAAGAAATATGCTAGCACATTTTTCTTTTTATTTCGATTTATCTTTTCTTTTGATTTGATTTGATTTGTTTTTTTTTTTTTTTTTTTTGTTTTGTTAGTTTTACAGAAATTCAAAATTTAAATTTCATTTAAAAAAAGAATTATTAAAGTATAAACTTACGTGTGAAATTTTTAAGCTTCTGTTGTAAAGGTGTAATAATATATGATTTTACTGGAATTGTTGAACGAAGTACAATACCTTGAGCAAGATTATTATTAAGTGAAGCAAGTAAGCCAACGCTTGAAAGAATTTTGTCACGTTTAAATACCCGTGATAAATCATTTGTGAATTTATGTTTTTGTAATTCATCTGAATGCAATAATGTTTCATGTCGTATAATTCCTGGCCAATGATATTTTTTCATCGAATTCTATAAAAAAAAAAAATATTTTTAATTAAAATAATAACAAACAATACGATTTGTATAAATAAACAAAATTGATAATGAATTTTAATAAATTTCAGATTTAGAATTTATAAAAATATTTTCAAAGTTTATAAAAAAAAAATGTTGCACCTGAGTTGATAAATTATTGAAGAATGATGCATTTGAAGGTAATAAACCACGTTCTCGACGAAATCTTGTATATTCTCTTTCGATCTTTTTAAGAAAAAAAAAAAAAAAAAAAGATAAGTAATTGATAGAGTAAAGATACATACATATATTTCAGTAAATCTACTTTATTAAGTTCATGTTTGTTTATATATGAATATATTTCATAATTTTATGATATCTTCTAAATAACATAGAAATTATCAGTTAAATTGCTAGTAGAATCTCGTAAACTGAAATATATAAATTTGTATGCATTCAATTAAAAACATTTATCTTTTATTACCTGTCTTCGTATATTCAATTTTTTAATTGACCATTCTAGGTCACGTGTACCAGGTCGTCCAGGTTCACCCAACTTTGGTCCCTCATAACCACACAATGAATCATTTGATTCTGTTTTACTAAGTGAATCGAAATTATCACTTTGTATTCGATTTAAATCATACACAGTAGCATTTTGTGAAATATTCTGCAATAATTGACTTTTTCTTTACAGTAATCAAATTTTGAAAAATTTTTTCATTCATATTAAATAGTGAAAAAAAAGAGAAATGAATTGTTTGTTTTGTATTAAATAATTTTTTTTTAAAGTTGAAATAAAGCTAACATTTTCATTGGAAGGTTGTTTTGATTGCAATGAAGTACTTGAACTGGCATCAACTTCAAAAGGTTTAATTTCAGATTTAGAAATTGATGATGATTGTACTTTATGTGAATCATTGATATCCAGTAGAAAAGATATGGGACTACGAGGATGACAAGAATGTCGAAGAAGTTTAGCAAAAATCTGATTCGGTACATCGACTACCTAAAATTGAAAATATAAAAAGTAATTAGTTTTCAGTTCTATATTTTACTTGAAAATGTGATAAAGATTAGAATAAAAATTCACTTGGATAAACCTGATCTTGAGTTAATAATTTAAAAATTGTTTAATTTTGAGTGATTTAGAAATTTTTTAAACTTAAGTAAATACCATATGTCATATATATAAGATATATATCTTATACATTATTTAAGTTATGTAAATGTATTCGTTCTTTTTTATTTCTGACGATCGTATTTAGATCTCTTAAAAGGAGTGTCTCAATAATTTGAAATGAGCATTAATAAGTAATCATCTAATTCAAATTAAAAAGGAAATAAACTCGAAATTTTAATACTTAATAAAAAGGTAATTTTCTTTTCTTTTTTTTTTTAATTTAAAATAAAACCAATATTTCCATGGAAAAGTTTCAATGAAATATTTGAATATAAAAAACATATGAGTATGCCAGAATTTAAAATCTATAAATTTCAAAATAATAACTTACATTATCATCACAATGTGAATTTTGCTGATATCGATCAGATGGTAATGGATCAGTAACGGTAGCAACTGTACGAGTTCCTACTACATTTGAATTACTCACATCATTCACAATTTCAATCATTTCTAATTTATTTGATAAATGAGTCATATCCATTACTGATTGTACATTTTGCTGTTTTGTTGATAATCTGTTGAATAGAAAAAATAGAAGAATTAAGAAAAATATAAAATTAAGTTAAATTATTTTAACAGTAAATTGATTAATGCATTAGTATAATTTTTAATTATTAATAGAAAATTTGATATCAATGTAAATCAATTTAGAGTAGATCAATTCATATTTGTATCAAATAAGAGTAAATCAATTCATATTTGTATCAAATAAGAGTAAATCAATTCATATTTGTATCAAATAAGAGTAAATCAATTCAAATTTATATCAAATAAGAGTAAATCAATTCATATTTGTATCAAATAAGAGTAAATCAATTCATATTTGTATCAAATAAGAGTAAATCAATTCAAATTTGTATCAAATAAGAGTAAATCAATTCATATTTGTATCAAATAAGAGTAAATCAATTCATTTTGTATCAAATAAGAGTAAATCAATTCATATTTGTATCAAATAAGAGTAAATCAATTCAAATTTATATCAAATAAGAGTAAATCAATTCATATTTGTATCAAATAAGAGTAAATCAATTCATATTTGTATCAAATAAGAGTAAATCAATTCAAATTTGTATCAAATAAGAGTAAATCAATTCATATTTGTATCAAATAAGAGTAAATCAATTCATATTTGTATCAAATAAGAGTAAATCAATTCATATTTGTATCAAATAAGAGTAAATCAATTCAAATTTGTATCAAATAAGAGTAAATCAATTCATATTTGTATCAAATAAGAGTAAATCAATTCATATTTGTATCAAATAAGAGTAAATCAATTCATATTTGTATCAAATAAGAGTAAATCAATTCAAATTTGTATCAAATAAGAGTAAATCAATTCATATTTGTATCAAATAAGAGTAAATCAATTCATATTTGTATCAAATAAGAGTAAATCAATTCATTTTGTATCAAATAAGAGTAAATCAATTCATATTTGTATCAAATAAGAGTAAATCAATTCATATTTGTATCAAATAAGAGTAAATCAATTCAAATTTGTATCAAATAAGAGTAAATCAATTCATATTTGTATCAAATAAGAGTAAATCAATTCATATTTGTATCAAATAAGAGTAAATCAATTCATATTTGTATCAAATAAGAGTAAATCAATTCATATTTGTATCAAATAAGAGTAAATCAATTCAAATTTGTATCAAATAAGAGTAAATCAATTCATATTTGTATCAAATAAGAGTAAATCAATTCAAATTTGTATCAAATAAGAGTAAATCAATTCAAATTTGTATCAAATAAGAGTAAATCAATTCATATTTGTATCAAATAAGAGTAAATCAATTCAAATTTGTATCAAATAAGAGTAAATCAATTCATATTTGTATTAATTCAAATCAAAGCAAAAAAAAAAAAAAAAGGAAACGACTTATCAAATTAATAAAAAAATGACTTTTCATACCTGTGATTATTGATTGCGCTATAGAAACCAGTATCGGATGCTTCAATTTCACTTGCTAATGAATCATAGAGTGAATCAGGTGTACTTGTCCTTAAATCACAAAAACTGAGTCAGGAAATATCAGTTTTTAAATCAGAAAGTAAATCGAGAATGCTAGTCCTTAAATCAAGTGATACTTGTCCTTAGAAGGTAAATCAAGGATGCCGGTTTTTAAATCAGAAAGCAAATCAGGAATGCTAATCTTTAAAACACAAAATAAATCAGAAATGCTTGTTGTAAAATCACAATATGAATCAAGAATGTTTCTACTTAAATAGCATTTATTTGTCGGTGATGTAATTTGAATTTCTCCAAAAAAAAAGAAATTCCAAATTTATAAATATTTGATCAATTATTAAAATCAATCCTAAAAACAAAACAACAATAAATTCTCCTCATTAATTTTAAAGAAAAAATTTTTATTTTCATTTCTTTTTCAAACAAATAAAAGAAAAAAATATATTTAGACAAAATATTCCTCAGAAATTTCAATATATTTAATTTATCTATTTCATATATCTAAGAAAAAAAATTATTAAATATTAAATGAGAAAGTTGAAATGAAACAAAGTTTTCACTTTAATTACTTTTCTCCTAATTTATTAATCAGTGCAATATTACCTATAAGCGGACTCATTCTGCCGATACGTCCGTAACTCTTCGTTTGCATCACGTAACATTGCCAGCACTTCCGTGTATCGTTCTTGTAAGTCATTTACTTGCGCTGCAAGTTCTTCATGCATTGCTAGCGCATCTTGCAATTGTATTTGCAAATCGGCAGCTTCATTTGCTAGCTAAATTAATCAAAAGAAGAAAAATTTTACCTTACTATTACATCATTTGTAAGAACACTATTAAATCATTTTGCTTACAAAATTTAATTAATAATTTCGTAGATCATCAAATTAAATGTAAATATATTAAAAGTAGAAAAGATAAAGTTTCATCAAGAAAAACAAAAGAAACAAAAGATCAATCATTAATTAAGGTAAACATTCATTTACCGCTTTTTCATGAATTGATCGAGTGGTAATTTCTTTGAGAAGTCGTTCCACTTCAAAATTTTGTATTCCACATTCTTCTGTCTTTTCAGCAAGTAAATGTTGTAAATTATTAATCTGAAAAAAAAAAGCGCAAATGAATTAATAATATTAAATTTTTATTTCTAATTATTTATTATGAAATGATAAAAGACTCCTTCTTATTCTATATATTAAAATATTAAAAGTCTTTCATACAAAATTTTCAAAAATGTTGAGAATTTATCTAACTTTTTTACATTTGTATATTTATGAATGTAAAAAACAATAAACGAAAAATTGTTAAATGAATAATAAGTAAGTAAGCACATAGTAAAAAATAAGTAAAAATATAAATAAATGAATAATTTAATACAAAAAAATTTGCAATGATATTTTATATTCTATTTGATTATAAATTGTTGACTGTTAGAAGAAATTAATTACCTTTTCATTAGCAGTATCTAATTGCTTTGTCCATTCCGAAATATTCAATTGTTCATTTTCTTCATATTCCGAAAAAATTTTCTTCAAATTTTTTGACTGCAAAATTTCAACAAAAAATTTAAAAAAAGTATCATTTGCGCATTTTTAAATATCAAGTTTTAATTTCAGCATGCATTGAAGAAGAGCAAAGAAAAGAAGAAACTGCTCACTAAATTAATTAATCAATTTCTATATTTAATTAATTCATTTCTATATTTAATTTGTGATAAATTTTCTTAACGATCCATTAATAACAATTTTTGAACATTAAAATGATTAACAATTTATAAGAAAATATAATTTTCTTTCTTTCTTATTATAAAAAACAAGAATTAGTAATTAAATTTGAGATTTTAATAGTTTGATACTTTGATTCATTTGTTAATTACTCATTTAAAAGGTATGCAAAAATTCGAATTACGAATATACCTCCTTTTTCAAACTTTGATTCTCATCTTCCAATCGTTTAATTTTTCGCTGAAGATTTTCACTATTTGATTGCCTATAAAATGTGTTAAATTTCAATTCCATTTAATAATTCAATTGTGACAAATAGTATTCTCAGCAAACATTAATATATTCTAATCAATCATTTCGTATATTTTAATGGATTTGTACCAATTTCAAAATTATTAAGTACTCATATCTCATCAATTTGATAATTTCTTTAATGAAATTTTCTTAAAATGCAATCACATTAAATTCTATTATCATTTTGAATTGCCATCAAATGATATTAAATGATATCAGTCAGCACAATAATTTTACAATATTTTAATGAAGAAAAAATAATTGACAAATTAAAATTGCTATTTATGTAAATTAGCAATTTTCTCAGATCATAAATTTAACTTCAATTTAAATTATCAAAAATATAATGTTTAAATAATTTATTGCAGATAATTAAACAGATTTACTTTATAAAATTTGATATTTATTAGTGCTTAAATTATTGAAATTTTCCATAAATTATATTGATTTTATATATTGGAATAGAAATAATTAGAGAAATGTATGAATTAAATAATCTAATAATGCAATAAAAGAAAGATCATAAATTGAAATAAAATGATATCACATATTTTTAAAAGAAAAATTCTCTTTCATTTTGTTTTTGACTTGCGTTTTTCTTGGCGGTGAACTTTGAACTCTACAAATGTACAAAAAACATTGGTGCTGGACTTTTTTTTTGATGACTAAGAAGAACAAATTTATGATTAACTTTACGAATTTCATGAAATTTCAAAATAACGTATTTAATTTGGAAAATTTTCGATAAAAAATAAACTGAAATGAACTCATTCATAGTGACTACAAAATATCATAGTTACTTTTAAAATTCATTTATTACCATCATCATTAATTAATTAATTAATTAATTATTCAAATTATTATTATTATTACTAAAAGAAGAGGAAGAAATGTAATTCTATCTATCAGTTTTATTGAATTTCATTCAATAATCGACGAAAAAAAAAAAGAATTTTACAATGAAATAAATATAAAAAATTTTGCAAATTTTTTAGCAATAAAAATTATAAAATTAATCGATTTTTTTAATCGTTTGTTTTACTTCGTTTAAATTGTGAATTCTGAAAAATATGCAAAAAGTTAATAGTTTCATTAATAAATTAAAAATTTGATAAAAGAAACGAAACCCTGATGAGCAGCCATCCACATCAGTTTCATAATCCATATAAAAATGTAAAAGATTTGAGCGCGCTTGTAAATCATGGCGCAATTGTACCACCATATCATTGGTTGTATTTAATGCTTCTTCTAAAAATTCATTCCTGAAATTTAATAAAAAATTAAATCTTCTCCTTGTGCTCATTAATTTCTTATTAATATAATTACAAGCCTAAAAATGCAATAAATGCTAATCATATAAAATTATCAATTATTACTAACTGTTAATTATTATCAATTAACATAAATAAAAATAATTAATTAATTATAAAGCAAATTAACTAATCAATTAAATGTAAATTATAAATTTTGATGTTACAATTAATGAACAATTTCATCAAAAATATTTTAGTTATTAAAATTTTCATTTAAATCATTAATAGCATTTTAAAAAAAGAAAAGACACAAAAAATAAAAAATAAATTACCTATTTTTTAATTCATAATTTCGATTCAATAATGATCGTCCAAGTTCAGCAGCAAATGCAAATTTTTTCTCCTTCTGTAATATCATTTCTATTAGCATTAACCAGTGCATTCGTTTCAAATAATTTTTCCCAAAATGTTTATTGCCATAGTATTGTTGTTGTTGTTGTTTATGACAATACCGCCGCCATTGCCGCCATTGATTTTGATAGCATTTATTTCTTTTATTAACTTTCATTATCAATCAATGAAAATTATCAGAAATTTCTTGGTTTTTTTTTGCATTCCTTTTTTTATTTATTTTGGTTATAATATAAGCAGATAAATATCTGAAATGATAAATATTTCTTAATGAAAATTAAATTAGAATAAATTATCAAAATTTTCATTGCACGCTGATATCATTTAATAAACAATCATTAGTAAATGGCAATTTGTATTAATTAGACATCAAAAATAATATTTTGGATTAATTGTATTACTCATGAATATATCAGAATTATTTAAGGAAAATTATACTTTATTTTCATTTCCAATTAATTTCTTTCCTTTTTCCCTTCTCTTTCCTTTTCCTCTCTCCCCCTCTCTCTCTCTCTCTCTCTCTCCGTTCGAGCTTTATCCAACAAATTATAATTCCGACAGAACAAATTAATTCTATGCGAAATAATATTCCAATTCAAAAAAAAAAAATCAGATTTAAACTTAAAATTTTCTCGATTTTATACGTACACGCAATGCATTCTAATTATTATTTTTATAAAATTATCCAAGTTTTAAATGTAGCATTTTAAATTTTAAATTTAAACATCCCAAAAGCTAAAAAAAAGGTATAAAAGTTACAAATATTCAAAAATGTTCATTTTTATTAAAATATAAAATGAAATAAACGAATAGCAAAATGATTTTAAAAATGAAAAAAACAAAATTCAACTAAACAAAAAGTACAAAATAAAATGTTTTCTATCTGTATTAAAATGACAAAGAAGCCGTATGAATGTGTGATCCGATTGGTTGTAACCCCAATTCAATTTAATTACAATTCTTCTTTTCTTCTTCTTTCACTTCCTATCATTGCTATTTCTGTTGATAAAGAGAGAGAGAGAGAGAGAGAGAGAGAGAGAGAGAGAGAGGGAGAGAGGGAGAGAGAGAAAAATAGATATGACAATGAAATGAAATGAAATGTTGTCCTCTCGTATAGTTATTGTCCTCTGTCCCTTTCTCTCTTCTGGTTGTTGACAGCAAAAAAAAAAATTTTTACAAATGCGATCATTTGTCGCATTTTTTTTTTTTTTCGCTTTTATTCCAATGCTTATTCTTAATTTTTTTTTTTGATTACAAATCAATAAATTGAAAAAAATTTTTTGTTTAAAAATTGATATTGAACTAATTGATTTACTCTCGAAAATATTTCAAGTTTAAATCTTTACAAATATTTCAAGTTAAATCTTACAATACTTTATAAAAGTATTATACTTACTTCGTTATATTTTATCTTGTTAATAAAGTAATGTGAACATTTTGATTTTAATTATAATTAAATTAAGATGAAAAAAAAAAAAAAAAGAAAAGACAATTATATGAGGTAGGAAATTTTATATTAGGAAATAATGATTGAAAATTTTGCATTTGAAGAAAAATTCATTTAAATAATTTTCATTTTGAAGTAATCTTTCTGTCATTTCTAAAAACTTTCATTTTAGGATATAGAAAAAAAAATTTTTTTTTTTTTTTTAGGATGAAAAAAATTTTGAAATGGCTTATAAAATACACAATTGATATATACAGAACATTATTTTAAACTTAAAATTTATGATTGAGTGAAATTAAAATATTTGGAAAAAAAATAATAGTAATAATAAATAAATAAAGATGGAAAAGTATTTAAGGAGAATAATAAATGAAAATGAGTTATCTAATTAATTAGTACTTAATAATATATTTATACTTAAATAGATAAAATACTATTATAATTTATTTATTTATTGCTTCAAATATGTTAACATTTCGTTTATTTATTTTAAGTATTCATTAGTTTTAAAAAAGAAAAAAAAGGAGAGAGCAATAATTTGAAAAATAAGAAAGAGAAAAAGAATATTAACATATGTAATTGAAATTTATTTTTAACCGATTAAAAATTTTTGAATTTATGTTAAAACTAATTTTTTTTTTTATTCAAAAATATTTAAACGAATAATCCAATGATAAAATATTTTCTCTTTTTAATTTCTTACAATTATTTAAATAACACAATAACAACAATTTTTTTTAACTTTGATCTATCCAATTATTCATTTCATTTTTAAAAATATTTTCAATAAATTTTCGAAAGATTAATGAATATATTATCGTCTAAAGAAGCAATCATAAATATATATAATTTAAAAAAAAAAAAAAGAATCAATGGATTTTTTCTATTTTTTAAAAAAAATAAAGAAAAAAGAAGGTTTTTTATCTTTTTGTTTATTATTTGTTATTTTAGAAAGTTAAAATTGATGAGAAAGCTAAAATTTATTTTCTAAAATTTTTTTCTTTGTTATTTTTTTTTTAATGTGAAAGAGAGAAAAGATTTGTGTAAAATTAGTGAATTTAAAAATAAGAAAAAAGTTAAAATGGAGAATTAAAAAAGCAAAAAATACTGAAATACCATTGCTGATGAAATGAAATAGGAATTGAAATAATGTAATACTTTTAAAATATGTAAAATTGTTAATTTAAATAATTAAAAAAAAAAAAGGAATTGCGAGATTTGTGAGATTTTTTTGTGAGAATTTTTGTTTGTTTTTCTTTTTTTTTCCCAAATGAGAAATATCAAAAATCAGAAATCAAAAATTCTCAATAATTTATTCATCGAATTGTTTTCATTCCTTTTTATTGATTCTTTTTTTTTTTTTTTCATTTTTTGACCAAACAAAATATTTTAAAGATTAAACGAAGGGAAATTGAATGATAATTCGATTTATTTTCTTTTACCAAATAGATATTTCAAGGTAAAAAATTTTTTTTTACAATTTGTCAAATTGGTATTTTAAAAGATATAAAAAAAGTAAATTGAAGGATTGCAAAATTCTTTCATTTTTCATTTTTTTTTTTCCTCCCAAATAGGTATTTTAAAGGTAAACGAAAATTAAATACTAAAAAAAATTTTTTTTTTCGAAACAACTGCAGTATTAATTTCCTTCACCTTTTTTAAAAATTATTTTCTCTTATTGGAGAAAGGTTAATATTATTTTTTCCCAATAAAAAACATTAATTTAAGGGATGAAAAGGGTTATCAAGAAAAGTGTATTAAACTGAAAAAAAAAAATATAAAATTTGAAATTGTCAAATATTTCGAATATTTCAAGAAATCTTTGAAAACTAGTTTGAAACTAAAAAAATAAAGCATAAAATATGGAACGTTGGTTAGTTAACTTAAAAATTTTTAGTTTTTCTAGTTTTCTCTTTTAAAAGCTAAAAATTTTTCACAAAATTGTGGAAATATTTATTGTAGTATGCTGAAATGTTGATGATAGAATTTAACTTTGACTACTACGTTTGAAATATTAACGTTAGTTAGAACGTGACTTGACTAATTCATTTGAAATATTAACGTTAGTTAGAACGTGACTTGACTAATTCATTTGAAATATTGACGTTAGTTAGAACGTGACTTGACTAATTCATTTGAAATATTAACGTTAGTTAGAACGTGACTTGACTAATTCATTTGAAATATTAACGTTAGTTAGAACGTGACTTGACTAATTCATTTGAAATATTAACGTTAGTTAGAACGTGACTTGACTAATTCATTTGAAATATTAACGTTAGTTAGAACGTGACTTGACTAATTCATTTGAAATATTGACGTTAGTTAGAACGTGACTTGACTAATTCATTTGAAATATTGACGTTAGTTAGAACGTGACTTGACTAATTCATTTGAAATACTGATGCCATTGAAAATGTGAGTAATTAAATTGAAATATTAGTTAAAACATGCTAGCATCGTTGTCTGTTTCTTTAATTCCTTCCCTTTAATCTAAACAAACAATTTTTAAGTGTGAATTTGAATGGAATTTGTTTACAATAAATAATTTCTCACTGTAATCAATTCTTTTCACTTTTCATTTATAAGAAAAGTTAAAATTTCGATTTCAGTTGTAAATAGGATGACATAAAACGATTTTTGTACGTAAACAATAAGATTTTATGGGAAGAAATGATTAGAATTGGCTATGAAATGTGCAGATTTTATTACAGTCAAAAAAATTTAACATTTCTTTTTCATTTAAAATATGTTTAAAATTATTAATGTTAATTAATAATTATAATGAATTTGGTTTTTTTTTTTTCCTTTTTCAAATATTTGCTTCTAACAGCAAAAAATTTTTGTTACCTTCAATAAATTTCTTTAACTGTTTCATTTTTAAAAATTTTAAACTAACAATAATAAATTTTAGGTTAGGAAGTCTTTCAATATTTATTAGTTAACTTAGAAAAAAAAAAGAAAAAAGAGTTAAAAAGAAAAGAAAATTTGATGCAAAAATGATGAAAAAAAAAAAAAAAAATCAGAGCGCAAATGACGTAAAATATAATTATTTTTTGACTCTCAAATTAGAAATGTTTTGAAAAATATGCAAAGTTTGATTCACTTTCTCAATTTCTAAATCATTAATTATAAATATATATTTACTCTATTTGTATTACATTTCACTAATATGGGGTCAAATGTCAAATGTCATATATCATATATCACATATATCCCAGTAATTGATATACAATTTATCGTCCACAGCTAATTTCCATTATTAATAAAACTATAAATAGCTAAAATTTCAGGTCAAATAAAAAAAAATTTAATTTAAGGAACAAAAATAATAAAAAATAATAATAAATGAATAATTAGAGCAAAAAACTGATTAATAATTAAATAAATTTATGGAATTAAGATTTTTTGTTTTAAGGAAAAAAATATGTGTTGCTGATTTCAATTATATATTAATTAAAATAAGAATTAATTATTAATTAAACTGATCAAAACAAAATTTGTTCCTATAAGAAAAACATAAATATTGTCCATTTAAATATTTAATAATTATTTTTAAATATGCATTAGCAAGAAATAGCTCAAAGTTCATCGCTTTTTCTACTTCACAAAATTGTTAACAATAATAATATCCTCTTTTTTTTCTTCAATTTTTCTTTTTTATTTTCTAAAATTGTTGCTTTCTAATTAAATAAATTAATTATTTGTCTAATTTGAAAAAAAAAAAACAAATATCAGCAATAATGGCATTATTTGAACTTTTAAATATCATAAAATTGCATTCGTCTTTAAAAATTCTAAAAAACTTGCCCAAAATAATAAATATGATGGCATTAATTAATATTAACAGTAATCGAGTAAAATAATAATAGTAAAACTAATAACTGATAATTGAAACAACAATGATAACAACAATAATCAATAATAAATTGGCAACATTAATTGATTAATATTGAAAATAATATTGATAATAATGACAGCAACAATAATAATAATAATAATGTTGCTAAATAATAATATTAATAATAATAACAAAATTTTATCCAACGTGTGGTAAACAAATGATAAATGATAATTACGAGGTAATGAAAGTATGCTAATTACAAGGTAAAGATTAAGTAATTAACAGCAACTAACCTTAGCAAGTTGTTCTATTGCACCAATTATAGCACAAGCGTTATCAATGTCATCGTTATCACTAATATCACTGGTATTATTACTTGGATAGCAGTTGCTACTTGAGTCGAGCATCTATGTCGCACACGACAAGCGCGCACTTCTGCAAAACTATCAAAAACAATTAGAAATTTAAAAATAAACACATTTTATATGCAAACTTAAAAATGACAAACACACAACGTATGCTAAAAAAAAAAAAAATATGAAAATTGAAAAATTTACATTTCTAAAATTTATTTTGTTATTGTAAAAATTATAAATTGATGGCAATATTTTAGTATATACTAATACTTTAACTATTAATTATATATTAATTAATAGGAAATTAAAAAACAAATATTTTTTTCTCTGATTAAATAGACTTGAATTTTCATTTGGTTTTTTATATAATAATTTCTTTTTCTAATATAAGTATTAAATATTTGAATTTTCACCAATTTAATTAGGTTCTAATTAAGCCAGATTTATAAAGATAAAATTATCACAATGTATGCGATCAGGTGTTAAAGAAAGAATGTGTTCCGGAATGATAAGAAAGGAACCAAACCGGTCAGTCAACAAATAACATATATGAGTCAACGGATTAATGTAAACAAAATATTTGTTAGACAACAATAAAAGCAACGGATTAAATATTAAAACATTTATCAATACATTGAAAAGTTTTAATATGCGATAGACAATTTATAATAGAATTTCAAATTTTTCATTGTACAAATTTAATATGATTAATTTCAAATTTAGGTAATAATTAAATTTCAAATTTAAAGGAATAAAGAAAAGAAATGATTTTATCACTTTTACTTTGTTAGCAATCGAACATACTTGAAGTAAACATATCAGTCTAACTTTTGCAGTTAACCTAAATCAAGAAATTAATAATAATAGTTGACTTATTCCTTACTATACAATAAATTTTTATCATTGAATAACAAAATAAATTGTCCTAAATTTTGGTGCATTATAAAAATAATTCCAATAATTTTTATTTTATTATAAAAGTTTCGTTTTTTTTTTTCTAATCAGAAATAGTTTACACATCTAAAATATCTACTTCGGTTGCTTGGATACGAAAGAAAAAGAAAATCATTTTAGCCTATTTCCTTATTAAGAATATTTTCTTTCTCATTTACTTATTTACTGAAATAATCGATAATCAAAACTTAAATTTAATATTTTGATTATAATTTAATATATTTAAAGCTTTTTAAAAAAAAAAAAAAAAAAAAACTCCTCGAAAATATTGGATAACATTGCTATGATTGTGCAAATTAATTAATTACACTAATTAATCGTATGTTATTCATGGAACAAATAAATAATGCAGTAAATTCCTATAGGATTAAGTTAATAAATAATAGTTAAAAGGTATAAATAATTAAGCTCCATGAATATTAAATCCTAATATCGAAAAGAAATTGATAATATGAATTGAAATATAAGCTTATTTTAAATAAATTCATACTGTATAAATTAATTTAATAAATTCTAAAAATTTTTTTATATAAATTCTAATAAATTCTAAAAGCTATACATTTTACTCTTATAAATAATTCAAGAAAAATTTTTTAAAAATTTTAATCTTTTAATGGTGGAATTATTTACATGAAAATAAATGATTATTACAACATAAATTGAAAAAAAAAAAAGAATGAAAAGAACGGATGTAAAATGAAGAAAAATTCGATTTATAAAAAACAAAAAGTGCTAAATATTCAGTTAAAGAAAAAAGAAATGGAAATGTTTTACTGAAATATAATTATATGATTAAATATTCTAAAAAGAAAAAATTATTGCTAAGATAATTTGATTGAAAATTGAAAAAAAAAAAAGAAAACAGATATAATTGAAAAGCTTGAAATCAATTAATTTAATGCAATTTCATTCATTTTCTTCGCTAACACAACTAAATCCTGTTCCGGAAATCAATTCCAGAAATATTCAAATATTTATTAATATATACTTTAACCGTTTATATTCAATTTATTCATTTAGTTTAAAAAGGAAAGAAAAAAGAAAATTATAAGTTAGAAATGAAAAGAAAAACTCTTTGACATTAATGTAAATTAATTAATTAACTAACCATTTATACTATCATATACAATCTAAAACAGTAAATATTATGCCTAATTAATAAATTTTTTTTAAATCTCTAAAAAAAAAATAAAAATCTAAAAGTTTGAAATTTTGATTTTTTTTTCTTCAAAATAACTTGATTAATGTTGCAATTTAAGCAAGAAAAAATATTAAAAGTGCATCGAAATGTTAGCTGATAAATGATAATGTTAATGATAAAAGTGAGAAAAAAAAAGGAAAAAAAAAATAACAAACTAAAATAATTGTATAAACTCATCAAAATCGATTTAACAGAATTATTTCTGTTATCATTTGCTAAAAAATTTATCAAAATTTCTCGTTGTGCATTAAAAAAAAAAAAAAAAAAACTAATTAAATTTTCAAATTTTTATTAAAAAGTACATAGCAATTACATATAATTGATGAAATGATTTCAGATGGATTAATATAAAAATATTTGTTTATTTTTTTAATTATACGTGAAAATTACAAAGTTTTTTTTTTCTGTTTTTAATTTATAATAAAAATTATTAGAAGAAAGTAAAGTTTAACAGATGTGATTAAATTACTTAAAACAAATAGTTCGAGTTAATTTTACGCATAATAATCAAATGGAATTTTATTTTGAGAAAAAAAAAATTATTATAGAAAGTATTACTAAAGTATAAAATAATTAAATGAATTGAAAAATATGCAATAAGCGAAATTTACAGATAAATTGCATGCATTAGTTAAATGAATTATGAACTTTTGATAATATTATATTCATTTTTTTTTTTTTTTTTTTAATCGAAATTTTTATTTTTTTATTTTTTTTATAAGAAATAGAAAAAAAAAATCATTAAAAAAGAAATCTTTAATGGGGAAAAAAAATTAATTTAATTTCTAGGTAAAATAGAATTAGATGAATGGATGAAGAAAATTGAAGTAAAAAATGTTACTTAGATTTCACGCAAAGAAGTGCACGAATTTAAGGTATTTTAAAAATTAAAATTAAATTTATAAAAATGAATAATTTTTTTTTTTTAGACGTTTGTATCAATTGTAAAATTGTTTTCTTTTGTTAGCAAATTTTTTCTAAAGAATGAAAAGCAATAATAAATTATTATTGAAAAGATATGCTGATGTAATCATTATAGTATGTATAAATATTAGGATTCCTGATTTCCGAACTGGAACATATGACATCATTTTAATGCAACACTGGAAAGAAAACCGGAAAATGAAATGTAATCTATTATAAAGTTTTACTTTGTTACTTTACTAATTAATATCTAATTGCCATTTATTGATTTATTTAATGATGCTCCCTCGTTCTACTTGACTGTTTGTCCTTTTTAATTTTTAAATTTGAAATAATTTGAGAAATTTTTTGAAAATTTGAAGAAACCAATAAATTTGAATAATAATTAATTAATCGAAAAAAAAAAATGGAGTGAAAATTAGTGAAACATGTTTGATTATAATAATGATAAAAATTACATACGAGACAAGTAACTTTCAGTATATAACTTACGTAAACTATACGTAACACAAGCCATAACTTCACGTAATTGTTGTAAAAAAAAATATCGCATTACATGAAGTATGCAATTATCCCACTTATTTCACGTAACTGCCGTGAGTTGTGAATCGGAAATAGTTTGAAGTAAGAAATTTATAATTTCCATTAATCACTCAAAAAATGGTAAAAATATCATTCAATTAATTTGTTATTTGCAATAAAAATTATTAAAATATTATTGTTTTATTTCAATTTCTTTTGCATTTTTCATAAATGCAAAATTTTCATAATTAATATTTCTTCTTTTTTCTGATCAAAAAAAGAAAAAAAAATTACAATAATTTAATAATTTATCATAAAATTTGTTCTATGAAATAAAATAACAAATGCTATAAATGATTTACTACCATTTATTATTCAATTATTACATATTTTAAAAGGAAATCAAAATTTTTCATCTTTAATCTCATAATAAAAAATTCTATCAAATGTTATTAAAAGAAAAAAGAAATAATTTTCTAAATTCAATAAACTTACAATAAATTAAGCAAAAAGAAAACAATGAAAGAAAGAAACAAAGAAAGAGAGAAAGAAAGAAATATTAAAAAGTACCAATCAATAATGATTATAACTTTACACTAAACTTCGAAACATTCCTTCTTATCATTCTTTTCCGATGATCTTATCACTAAGACAGCTGGTGGATAGCTAATAGCTAATAGATGATATCAAATAGCTAACTAACTGTATTCATTCACATTCATCCATCTTTTCTAAATTTTTTTTTTTTTTTAAACATATTTCTTTGTTATCTCTCTTAAGTACTCTCATATTGAAAATGAAATAAATAAGATTAATTACTGATAGCTAAATGTAACAAAATAAACAAATTGTATTTAGCTAAATGAATTAAATTAAAATCAATATTATCATAATTTTTTTTTTTCAATAAATTAAAAATTTTTTTTTTCAAGTAATGAATTTATTACTACTATACATGATTGTTTTATTTTAATTTTCTTTTTGATTTTAACAATTTTTTAAGTATATTATAGTTTAATGATTTACTATAAATTTGCATTGCTGAAAAGTGAATTTTAGGAAAATTTAAAAAAAAAAAAATTATCAATTTATTCCTTCTTTTTTTCTAATTCGTTTTTTTTTTTTTATTTTTATTTTAACAAAAATGAAAACAACAAATGATTAAAAAGGAAAAATGAATATCCCTTATTTATTCTCTCTCTCTCTCTCTCTCTTTCCCTTCATCTTGCTTTTTCTTGTTTGAGATAAAATTTAGCAAATGATTGTATAAAAATGAAAATATTATAATTTAGAGGAAAGTAATGCAAAATTATAATCATTAAATGATTGATAATATTATCTTAGATTTGATAATCGTTCTTCTCTTTTCATAAATATCATTCAATGATTGATCATCGATTTATTTGATCGATAAATTCCATTCATTTGACATATTTGATTAATTAGAGGGAAAAATGGTTATTAATGAAATTAGCATTGTAATAATATCTAAAAGAAACTAAAAACGAAAGCTTTTTTATTTTCTTTTAAATTCAAATTCAATTTATTCAAGAATTAAAAAAAAAATAAAAAATAATAAACAAGAAAGACTGTTTTCTTTCTTTCTTTCTTTTCTTTTTTTCTTTTTTGGACAAATTTATAAAAAAATTAAAACTTTGATGAAATTTTAATTTCTTTTATTCCATTTAATCTCAGACAAATTTCATATGATATGAATTTTGGATCAGTATTATTCTTTACTTTTCAAAATTTTGCAAAAATACTGCGAATATAAATAAAAATAAGCTGAAAAAGTAGAAAAAAGAAAGAGAGATAGACAGAGAGAGAGTGAGAGAAAAAAAGAAAGTTTCTCGAAAAACTTTTAAATTATTACTACTAAGCAAAATATGAACTTTAACAGCATCGTCTCTTGAACTACTTATCAGTTTTTTTGTTTTTTTTTTTGTACATTTACCCTTAAAACATACGTTATCGATTGATTGATTGATCTTATAATCAATCAATTATTTAACTGATCAATCAAAAATTTTTCTAAATGCTTACGAACATTTAAGCATTTTTAGCTAAATTATAAATATATGTAACATATTTACACATTTTATCTAATTGATTTACATTTTATTCCTTTTTAATTAATTTGTGAAAAAAGAAGAAATATTAAAATATCTTTACAAAAAAAAAAATTTTCTTTTTAAAATGCTAAAATGAAAAATCTCAATAAATTTATACGATATTAATTTTGAATAAATTAATTATAAATTTATTGTTTTTTTTTACTAATTTTTTATCATATCAGTCCTAATGATCTTTAATGACACACATACACATTCATCCTGTAATAGCTTAATAAGTTTAAAATGAAATAACAATTGGAAATAATTAAAATTTTCAGTGATATCTAACAAACAAAAGTTTTTTGCACTTTACTTTTTATATAATTTAAAAAATTTTTTCAGAATTTTAATTTCATTTTATTCATTGGATAAATTACAAAAATAAAAGAGAGAAAGAGAAAATGAAACAAAATTAAATGACAGAAAGATGATAATTAAATGATAAATTCAAAAGTAAATGAAAGAAAAAATCTTGGCAATAATATCATATTCATTATCACTATCTTTAATGATAACGCTGATGATAACGACAATACATATTATCACTATCTTTAATGATAACACTAATGATAACGACAATACATATTATCACTATCTTTAGCAATATCATTAAATTAAGCCCAAATATATATTAGAGATATTTATATGAAAAAGAGAAAATATATTATTTTATTAAAAAAAAAAGAATTAGCAAAACTATAATAATTATACAATGCGTGCATAATGCGTGCTGCATTTTGCATGCAAGTAATTCACATATTACTTAGTACAAAAAAAAGGATAAAAAAAAGATTATGCAATGTTTGCATAATGCATGCAAGTAATGCTTGCTTACTTAATGGAAGCGAAAAAGGAAAATCAATATTTACCATCGATGAAAATATTTATGAAAAAATTGCATTAATTTTAATGACACGCAATAAAAAAACGTATAAAATGAAAATAGATTTGAATATTTTTCCTCAAAATTGCTAAATTTCAAATTTATGTCATTTTAATAAGTTAATGAATTGAGTTAATTTAAAATTAAAACCGATGTAGTCTAATTAACATACTAGATTGAATCTGTTAATTAATTATCTTTTAACAATTTTAACATTATATGATTATTTCCTAAATGTAAATTTCTAAGATGACCTAATCACTTATTTAGATTAAATAATCTTTTTAGCAAAACTAACATTTACAAACTTTCAAATTATAATTTTATCAAAATGTGTTCTACAAAAATTTCTTTTTTCTTTCACGCCCAGATTCTTGAATTTAAAATAATATATAATTCGAAAGAAATAAGATATTTTGAGGATAAATACTTGTTTACATGAATAATAATCATTTTTAAATTTTTAAAAATATTTTTCTTTTTTTTTGCTAAATGTAAATATGTAAATTGTGCTTATTATAGTGCAAAAGTTATCAAATTTGAAGTTAATAGAGGAATAATAAGCTTAGATTTAGGAGAAAAAAGAAAAAAAAAGGCTTACTTATACGGCCATTCCTGAAATGGAGCCAGCTAATATAGCTAAATGTGAAGAGAAGAAGCCTTCAAAGAGAACTAAGCTTATAAAAGCTTTAACGAAAAATCTATATATCAATACGAGAAGCAAACATCCCAATGACAACCAAAATTATTTCCCTTCTTCTCTTTGTTTTTCAAATATGCCTTGCGATGGTCAACTGGGTAACTTACCCGAAATGAGAAAAGTGTCAGGGCTTCTCCGATAATCTGTCATCATTGTTGTTGCCTTTGTGGTTTTGCTTAAGGATATCGTTGTTATTGTTTGTTATTGATGTTGTTGTTGTTATTGTTATTGTTCTTGCTATTATTGTTGTTATTATTGTCATTGTTGTAATTTACTGTGGATGTTTTGCTATATAACACTAAATGGCTTTTGTTTTTCTTTTGTTTTCTTTGTTTTATTTTTTTTTTTCCTTTGTTTTAATTTATGAAACTGATTTTCAGCAATGAAAAATTTTTATGTAACAAAAAATTAAAAGCAAAAAAAAAAAAGAAACACAGATACTAATCATATAGCATAGAAAATATTTTCTTTTCTGATCTATCTTTCTCCCTCTCTCTTTGTCTTAAAAAATTTTTGAAATATATAGTTTTTTTAATTAAATTAATTTTAAATTACAACAAATATATTTTATACGAATTGAAAATTTTCATTTGTTATTTTTTTTATTTTTATTTTGTATCTTTTTAATAAATTAAGTTGCAAAAAAAAAAAAAAAAAAAAAGAAAACGAAATAATCAAATAAAATTTTGAAAAAAATATGTGTCAAAAAAAAGGAAAAAATTTGAAATAAAATGAAATAAAGGTGTGCAATATAAGAAACAAATAAAAAGTGAAAGAAATGAAAAAAAAAAAAATTTTTTTTTGATGCAAACAGGAATATTTACAATAAACATTCGATACCTACCTGTCTACCTACCTACCCGCTTATTTACCTGCCATTATTATTACTATTACTACTACTACCTATTAGTACTACTATTACACAACTGCAACTATCATTCAACGATATTTTCATTCATTTCAATTCTCCTATTAAAATAATAAATTAAAAAGTATCAAATTTATCATATTACTTTATGCTTATACTATAGCAAAAATATAATATATTGTTTATCCACTAATTACTTAATTAGTTAATTCATTAATTAAGTTCGCATATCATAATTGGTAAACTAATTTCGACTCGACTAAAACTGTGAAACATTTTAATAATAGTGTTATCTTGATAATAATTAATGAATAAATATTATTTTATGGATATGAAATTTATTATAATAAGCTATAATATTGTGATAAGATAGTAATCAAAAATATTATTAAATCATAAGTAAAAATTCAATTTCTTTATTCCATTTTTTGCGTTTTTTTTTTTGTAAAAGTTTCAAATGTGAGAAATGAAAGAGAAAAAAAATTTAATTTTACTAATTAGTAAGACAGCTTCTTGTACTTTTAGCGCATTTTTATTATTTTATTTCAAATTTTTATCAAATGTCGCTGCGCTAAAAGCATCAACGGTATGTTTTAAAATAGCCAATAGATTAATTCTTATTATTTCAATTCTTAATTTCTATTATTTCAAATATTACTACAGTCCAATTCTTAATTCCTATCATTTCAAATTACAACTACAATTCGATCTTTAATTCCTATTATTTCAAATAAATTACTATAATATAATTCTCAATCATTTCTGATACCTTATAATTATTCATCATTATTTATGAATAAAAATTTTGTTTCTTGAAAGGTGTTTGGAAATTATTTTATTTGCAAAAGAGAAACTAAATAAACACATTAATTTTTGATCTATCGGGGGAAAAAAATATTAAACTGATAAAAATGATAATAGTGATAGTAGTAGTGATAATAGTAGTAGTAGTGGTAGTGGTAGTGCGCAAATGAACAAAAAATTTCATTTCTTGAGCTGATAACCTTCAATTTAAATCTTCCTGAAAATCGATTAAAATAGCGCAATGGACATAATGAATGATGATGATGATGAAGCCGCCGAATTGTTGCAGATGATGGGAAAGGGCGGGTTTGTCGCCCAGATACACACAAAGAGAGAGGGAAGGAGAGAGAAAGGGATGTACACAAGGGAGAGAGAGAGGTACACAGATGTGTCGGTGGTGTAAGATCGCTTTTTCATTTCTCAATTTCTTTTTTTTTTTCTTTGACAGATGAAATTTTAAAAGACAAACAGAGTGGGAGGCCATTAGTACTAGCAGTGCTAATCATTCGAGAATTACCGATTTGTAATTCTCGACTTCGAACTTATTTTGCTTTCTAGCGCCATTAAGCTATGTGATATTTGCAAGCAATGAAATGTTTTATCGATCAGATAAAATCTAAATGAGTTTTTTTTTTAATTTTATCATCATTTCAAATTAATTTGTATCTAAGTATTATCGATTAGTTTATAGTAACTTTTGCAAATGATCTATTGAAATTGATTTATTAGAAAAAAAAATTGAAAGTAATAATAACAAGATTGCATAGTTTGTAGAATTATTTTAACAAAAATAAAAATTGAAAATTAAAACTAATTTAAAACAAATTTAAATTGATCAAAGATCAAAATGTAATTATCTGTTTTTGATGTTCAGATAAATAATAAATCATATTATAATTAAATGTATTAAAAAATGTTGATTATTGTTTTTTTTTTTTTTAGTAAGCAAAAAAATACAAAAATTTTCGAATAAATCTTTTTTTTTTTTTCTTCTATTTCTTATTTTGGAAAAGTTTTTAATAGCATTTTTTCACTGACAGTAAAAATAAAATATTTTAAATGAAATACTGAAAAGCAATGACCGAAATAAGACATAAATTTTAGAAAAAATGGAATTAAATCAATAATTTTTGAGCTATTCCTTCTTTTTTTATTCCTTTTTTTAAAAGAAAAATCTAAGAAAGAAGAGGTGAGGGAAAGAGGGAGAGAGAGAGAGAGAGAGGGAGAAAAAAAAGAATAAAAAAAGTTGATATTATATGAATGAGAATTATTCGGTGAAAAAATATTTTGACTAAAAGATGAACTAGTATTAATAAAAAAAAAGTTTATCTAAATAAAATATATTTGATTGAAAAATTGAATGTTAGATTTTTTGATGATAAATAATCTTAGCAAATTGAATGAAATTTTCTTTATGCAAATTGTTTGCTTTATGTTCGAAATGTTAGTATTATTTGCAGTTACAATAAGCGCAATTTGATAAACACTTTACTATTTTTTCCGTTCTATCAATTCGTTTGTTTATTTGCTTATTATTTTCATTATTTGTTTTTGTTTGCTTGCTTGCTTATTGTTTTTGCTGTTTGGCATTGCTTGTTTATTTGTTTGTGTGTTTGTTTATTTATTTGTTATTTGTTCCTTATTTAGTATTATATTTGGTACTACTTACATTCGAAATGCAAAAAAAAAGTGCAATTTAATTATTATTTTAAAGTAAATATAAGAGATATTTATTCTCCCACTGCTACGATAAATATTTTACTCGAACATAATTCAAACTTTAACTTCTAAGAATCATTACTTATTACTCTACTTATATTATTTATTTTTGGAGTAAGTATAGCAAAAATCATTTTACTGCGATAAATATTTCATTCAAATCTATTTTAAACACTAACTTAAATATATAAAAATAGAAATAGCTTCAACAGCACGAAAAAAAAAAATAGAAGAAACACTGATAAAGAATTGAAAATTTTAGAAAGCAATTTAGTTTTCTTATTAATTAATTAGATGAATTTATCCGTTGATTTTTTGAAAAATTTTTGAGCAATTAAATAATGATTGAATAAAATTGAAATACATAAAGCAAAGGATTTGTTGGTTTAAAGATTTGTTTAAATTTGAGCTGTTAGAAAGAAAATAAAAAAGTAAATTTTAAATTTTTGAAAGAACGAAAAAATGAAATTTTGTTTTAATTCGTTCCAACATTTCTAATGCATAAAGTTAATTAAACAGTAAAAAGTAGCGAGCGGGGCGGAACTGTCAGTTTCAGTTAATAACGATTTGAACACAAAAATTTTGCCATCTTTTTTTTTTTTTTTTGTCACTTCCAACCATTTTTTTTTTTCATTTAATTTTATTTTTTATTTTTTTGCAGAAAATTAATTTATTAACAATCTAAATTCTCTTTTCTGTTTGTCATCTAAAAAATTTTTGAAAAGAAACATTGATTTTATTATTAAAACTTTAATAATATTATTTTTTAGCTCCTAAAACAAATGTAAGATTTTAAACAATTTATCATCCTTATCATATCTCAACTAATTTGAAATATTTATCTTAATAATTAGAAGAAAAAAAAATCTAATAATATTCGAATGATTCAGCAAATTTTTAAAATATCACTTTTTTTGATTAGTAAAGAAAAAAAAAACTGAAAGTTTCAAATTTTATATAATATGCACAAATTATATTTAAAAAACAAACAAATAAGCTATCGTATCATTTCTAATCAGTAAATGATAGAAATAAAAAATTTATCACTACAAACTTATTTTGTACGATTTGATAAATTTAGATTTACGAAAAGAATTAAAAAATTTCAAATCAAATTTTTAGATTGGATATAAATCAACCGATCGACTATTCCTTAGCTTTTCGTTTTAAGTGAGAAAAAATTTTTGAATTCAATCCGTTGGCTACTCTCTTAACCTTTAACCTTTTATTAATATTACAAAGAAGACATTAATTTGTTAATTTTAATTGAAGTAATTATGAAACATACAACAATAAAATTTGCATATTAGAATGAACCAAAATGAAAATATTTCAGTAAATATGTGTTTGTGAATTTTAAATAAGCAATTTTTTAGCATTAAAATTTAGCAAAATTTTTAGATATAATTCATTAAGGAAAAAAAAATCAAAAAGTCAATTGGTTCGATTGATGAAATTATCGAAAATTTTGTCAAAATTTACGATGAATCATCGTAAATAAAAACAATTCTTAATGCTTTCAATTCATTTTTTTTTTATTTGTTAAAATATTTCGAATTTTTGCAAAATTTTTTTTTTTTTAAAAAAAAGAATCATCTAATTTTGCTATAATATTTCCAGTTCATATTAAAAATATAAATATTGAAATTCTAAATACAAATATTGAAATTTTTGTTTCCTTTATGGCTTTTATAACTTATTTTCTTTGTTTGTAAATGAATTCTATTTGTAATTGATAAACTTATAAGTTAAATTCAATTAC